ATACCCTCGAAATCACTACTATCTTTGCTATGCTAGTTTGCTCGCTCTTTTGCTATGCCAATGCTACGATGCCTACCATTTGCTTTCAAGCCTCCCAAATTGCCATGTTAAACCTCTAACCCACCTTTGTCCTAGCAAACCATTGATTGGCTATGTTACCGCTTTGCTCAGCCCCTCTTATAGCGTTGCTAGTTGCAGGTGAAGATTGGAGGCCATTCCTTGTTGGGACATTTATTTACTTGTTGGGATATCATTATATTATCTTGTTATCTTAATGCATCTATACACTTGGTAAAGGGTGGAAGGCTCGGCCTCTCGCCTAGTGTTTTGTTCCACTCTTGCCGCCCTAGTTTCCGTCATATCGGTGTTATGTTCCCGGATTTTTGCGTTCCTTACGCGGTTGGGTTATAATGGGAACCCCTTGATAGTTCGCCTTGATTAAAGCTTTTCCAGCAATGCCCAACCTTGGTCTTACCATTTGCCACCTAGCCTCTTTTTCCCTTGGGTTTCCGGAGCCCGAGGGTCATCTTGTTTTAAACCCCCCCGGGCCAGTGCTCCTCTGAGTGTTGGTCCAAACTAGAGTCCTGTGCAGCGCCCCCTCGGGGAAACTCGAGGTTTGGTTTTAGTTGTATGGAGAGCTCATCTGAGTGTGCCCTGAGAACGAGATATGTGCAGCTCCTATCGAGATTTGTCGGCACATTCGGGCGGTGTTGCTGGTCTTGTTTTAACTTGTCGAAGTGTCTTGAATTACCGAGATACCGAGTCTGATCGGAACGTCTTGGGAGGAGGTCTATTACTTCGTTGACCGTGAGAGCTTGTCATGGGCTAAGTTGGGACTCCCCTGCAGGGATTGAACTTTCGAAAGCCGTGCCCGCGGTTATGGGCAGATGGGAATTTGTTAATGTCCGGTTGTAGATAACTTGAACCTTAACTTAATTAAAATGAATCAACTGAGTGTGTTACCGTGATGGCCTCTTCTCGGCGGAGTCCGGGAAGTGGACACGGTCTTGGAGTAATGTTTGCGCAGGTTGCTCTCTAGTTTCTTGCTCTTGCTTTGCCTCCTCTTCTCGCTCTCTTTTGCAAATAAGTTAGCCACCATATATGCTAGTCGCTTGCTGCAGCTCCACATATATTTACCTTGCCTTACCTATAAGCTTAAATAGTCTTGATCGCGAGGGTGCGAGATTGCTGAGTCCCTGTGGCTCACAGATTACTATTACACCAGATGCAGGGCCTGATGATTCCGCTCCAGGAGACGTGTTTGAGCTCAAGTGGGAGTTCGACGAAGACTCTCAACGTTACTATGTTTCTTTTCCCGATGATCAGTAGTGGTGCCCAGTTGGGGGTGATTGGGACCGTGTCGCATGTTGGGTTCTCTTTTATTTTGGCGCCGTAGTCGGGCCATGAGTGTTTGGATGATGTAATGTTATTTTGTACCTTGATTGACGTGGCGAGTGTAAGCCAACTATGTTATCTCCCCTTTTATTATCATATTACATGGGATGTTGTGAAGATTGCCTAACTTGCGACATATGCCTTCAATGTGATTATGTCTCTAAGTCGTGCCTCGACACGTGGGAGCTATAGTCGCATCGAGGGTGTTACAAATACCTATCGTTGCTGTCCTATATCATCCCTTTCTCTTTAGGGAAATACTGACGTAGCTTCAAGCGACATCAAGAACCAAGGTTCAGTAGGAGAACCACACAACACCTCTTTAGCAGCACCCGCACACAAATAACAAATCCTTGCAACCCAACGCGAACAAGGGGTTGTCAATCCCTCAGCGGTTACTTGCAAGATTAAATTATGTAGTGCTTGATAGATAGATTGAACAAAAATACAAAATAAAATAAATAAAGTAAAATTGCAGCAAGGTATTTTTAGGATTTTTAATATATGATAAAAGTAGACCCTAGGGGCATAGTTTTCACTAGAGTCTTCTCTCTTGAAAATAGCATACGATGGGTAGAAAAATTACTGTTGGGCAATTGATAGAAAAGTAAATAATCATGACGATATCTAAGGGAATGGTCATGTATATAGGCATCACATCTGAGACAAGTAGACGGAAACTATTCTGCATCTACTATTATTACTCCACACATCGACCGCTATCCAGCATGCATCTACTGTATTAAGTTCATAAAGAACGGAGTAACGCCTTAAGCAAGATGACATGATGTAGATAAAGTAAACTCACACATGAATAAACCCAATCTTTTTATCCTTAATGGCAATGATACAAATATGTGTCATGTCCCTTTTTGTCACTGGGATTGAGCACGCAAGATCGAACCCATCACAAAGCACCTCTCTCATTACAAGAAAAATCAATCTAGTTGGCAACGCCAAGTCAATAATCAAAGGGAAATACGAAGCTATAATAATCATGCATAAAAGAGTTCAGAGAAAACTCAAATAATATTCATGGATAATCTGATCATAAACTCACAATTCATCAGATCCCGACAAATACACCGTAAAAAGTGATTACATTGAATAGAACTCCAAGAACATCGAGGAGAATATTGTATTAAAGATCAAAGAGAGAGAGAGAGAGAGAGAGAGAGAGAGAGAGAGAGAGAGAGAGAGGGAGAGATCTAGCTACTAACTATGGACCCGTAGGTCTGTGGTAACAATAATCCTAGACATACCGGCTTCTTACACGTAGTTTACAGGGCCCTTCGTTAAATTTCTTTGCCCCCCTGATTTCCCACCGGGGTGGCCCGCCTCACTCCCTTCTTTCCAATCCCACTTTGCCATGTCACCGTGTAATTAAATTCAGTATGTGCATGTACGTCTAGTATTACTGTCTGTGGTAAACTACTCACACATCATCGAAAGGGCAGCAAGGTTGATGTAAAGCCCCTCCGTGATTGATCCTCCCTCCGGGAGAGTGTCGAAAAAGACCTCCAGATGGGATCTCGTGAGAACGGGAACTTGCGGCAGCGGAAAAAGTATTTTGGCTGACTCTATGTTGGTTTCCCGATTTTAGAGAATTTATAGAGGCAGAGTTAGGTCAAACGGAGCCACGTGGGCCCGCGCCCTGGTGCCTCATGGGCCACTACTCCATCTTTTGGCCCTCTCCCGAAGCTTCCAGGGTCTCTTATGTCCAAAAAAATCTTCAAAATTTTTGTGGCATTTGGACTTCGTTTGGTACTGATATTCTGAAAATCAAAAACAGGCAAAAAACAACAACTGACACTGGGCACTAAGTTAATAGCTTAGTTCCAAAAAATGATATATAATTGCTTATGAATGCATATAAAACATCCAAAATTGATACTATCATAGTATGAAACAATCAAAATTATAGATACGTTGGAGATGTATCAGAAAGGCAGCCATCCAACATTGTCCGCATACATTTCAACCCGCATTTGAACTAGCCAGACGAAATTCATGCAAACCAGCTGATATGTATGGAAGATAGAAAATAGCATAAATCTTCCATATATATAGTACGCAAATTTAGTCTAGTACAATGATGTCTCAAATTTAACTAGATTAACCGGATGTCCAATAAGTTTTTCATCAACGAATCATGCCCTCCCGCACATACTCCCTCTTCAACTTCATCCAACAGTGTGTGTATGTAAATGGTCGTCTTTCTGTCTTGTGGTACACTATGGCAGCGCGTGCAAGCTACATAATGTGTAGACCAATATTGAGTGAATGAATCAATCGACAAATTGAGCAAGAAGCAAAACTTACGATCTCGTCCTCTGCCGCGTGCAATGGTCACCTTGCCTCCAGCTGACGAACACATCATAAAACTTTATGACGCTGATCTGGATTGTGTACCAACAATACGATAACGATGTCACGTTGCGTTGTTGAATAATGTACATGTCTTGTGCAATGTGCTTTCATGTGTGAAACATTTCATGCACTTGCTGCCAGAAGGCCCCCCCTTTGCTCCTGCCTACGAAATTCGCGGATACGGCCAACCACTCATTGCATAACATCTCATCCTCCATGGTTGAGTAGCTCATCATCTTTCGTACTCAATGGCATTTGACAGAACACCTGACGAGTGTGGTGTCCACCATGGAGGTCATTGACAGGGGGTGGAGTGTACCTGGGTATAAACGGCGTACCTGGGTATAAACGGCTTAAGGGTGGACAATGCCGTCGTAGAGGCGAGCGGGCACGCCGGTGCTGGTTGCGGATGTCCGGCAATGCCTCTGTGGCGGCCTAAGGCGTATAATAGCGACAACGGTGGTGGAGGGTGCTGATGCAAAGCAAAGGGGAGAAGGGACGAAGGTGGAAGGAAATGGGACCGGAAGAGGGGATTAGGTGGGCCGGGGGTGTCTGAGTCCTGCGTGTCTGCTGTCCGGACTACCGCACTTTATCTCCAATTTACGGGAGAAAGTGCATCTAGACCGTTCTGCGGATCAATACAGACCCCTATTGAATGGCTTTAGCGGTCCGAACGAATACGGGCGGTTTGAGGATCGGCGTTTGAGATGCCCTTCCTGCATAGAGGCCAAAGGTGATCTCGTTTTTGAAGCTGAAGCATCTGGTCTTATTGCTTTGCATCTTTCTAAACAAAAATATGCTTGTGTGCATCTGAAGATGTAGAGACCCAGAGACTTACCCTTTCAGAAAAGAAAAAAGAATAGCTAATGATCAATCTGACATGCTTAAGCCGCGAGGTTGTTTTCAGATTGATATATTTGCGAGTTGTTTGCTTAGGAAATTCACATGAGAATGATTAGCATTGAGAACAGAGGGCGCATCAGTCCATTCAACTCATAAGCATTCGATCAACAAGTACACTGTGAAACCACAATCACAGAACGCCTAAAAAGACTATAATACAGAACAACCACTTAATTTATTCTCAAAAGGCAGGGCCTTAGTAGCATGCATCTTTTTATTCAAAGTATAGTATATAGTACTAGCAAGCAAGCACACTCCTGAGTGTCTTCATCCTCATCTTCCATGCTGCAGTAGTTCCCTGTCCTCTTGGCCATCCTTGGTCACATCTTCACTCAATCTGGAAGTTGAAGTTTGTAAGTGCAAAATGGTTTGAAAATGAACCAAGGCTGAAAAATCAGGGAATATGTTGTTACCCCAAGCCGCTTCTTTGTGTGTTCAAGCAGAAATTGTGGGTCCAGCTTCGTTTGCGTGTACGCATCGATCTTGTTCACTTCCTGTAACATATCGATTAAGTTGCCTTCTCGACAGCAAAGAATTGCGAAGACAATTGGTTTGCATTACAATGTGGCATAGTCACATCCCGCGACATTCAGACTTACCTCGATGAATTTCTGAATGTTCGGTCTGTCCTTGGTGATATCATAGTTTTTGATACCAGAAAAGAATATCTGAAACCTTTCGATAAATGGCACATATGCAATGTCCACCTGTGTAGAAATGAACATCGCAACAAGTCAACATGTCAACACAATTCTTCTGAAATGGCATTTTAAGGATTCCCGGATTGGCGTGACATACCAAACTGAACTGGCCAAGGAAGAAAGGGCCATCACTGAACTTTCCCAGGGCAGCTTCTATTTTATCCAGCGCAGCAACTAATGGAAGATAATGCATAAGAAGTTATAAATACGAATTACATACTCTAGCCTGTAGAACTTATTAGATGATTAAACAGGTTACAGGTATGGCTCTGCTCTTTTACCAGTTTCCTCTGCCACATCTCCCTTGGAGGTTATGGATGAGTATAGTGCTTTATTGAACTCGTCGGTGTACACAAGAAGCTCCTCAGCAAACTGCTTCTTTGCAGAATCCTGCCAATTTATGAATGCAAGCGTTAAAACCACTGAGAAATTGCTTTCTCTGGTTATCATGAATCATGATGGTTAAAAATAGAGAATATTTACATCAGGGAGCAATGCTGGGCCATCGAAATTGCTGTCAATGTACTTGACCAAATCCAAGCTCTCTCCTTTCACTTGGTTGTTATGCTCCAGTGAAGGCACCTGTCGAAAAATAAATTTAAGGCAAGTGTGGATGGAGATCATAGAGATAATGAACTGA